GGTGTTGGCCAGGGGGTCAGGGCAAGAGGCTGTTATTTTACACGCAGCTAAGAAAGTTGCCAAAAATGTAGTGTTTTGGGATTCACAGAGGACATTTTTGAGGGCAGCCTTCCACTGTCAGTGAACAGTGTCTTTATTTGGCTTTTTTTGATCTTAACATTTTGAGTCTCTTCATCAGAAGGAAGGAAAAAAAAAAATCCCCTGAATTAAAATATGGAAAAATAGGGAAGGGAATGAGGTAGGATGAAGACTGACTGCTTGCTTTGTCAGATGCCTTTGCTAGCATGGGAGTAAATGCTGTAGGACTGCCTAGATATACATTAACTAAATAGCAATGATTGCTGGTGCAGTAACCACTAAGCAAACAGGTCTGTAGATTCTGGACCTGTGTCTCTTCCCATATGCAAAAATGCAAGGAGATAATTCCCTAGGTACTTCAAACTGGGGAAACGTAGGTATTCAACAAGGTGAGGATCAACTTAGTGGAGTTACACCATTGCAAGAGGGCGGCGAAACCTTTCTTGTTTTTAATAAATGATGGTTGAAGCCAATCAAGTTTGAATGGCAATGGATTTTCCACCTTTTACCCTCTCACTGGAACGCGGTAAATGTTCAGTTTGCTAAAACACTCTGCACGTAGAGTTCCGGCCTCTGCTATAGAGAGGGTGCCATAGTTCAGGAGAAGCAAAGCTACCCCTTGCATGTCATATCCCGAGGGAAAATGTTTAAAACCTTCCTCCACAGAAGTCCACGTTAAACAAACCAGATGCTTGCGGGGTAGTAATGCCTGTGCTTCTGCCCGTCTCTGTGGCACTACCTAGGAGATGGGCGGAGGGGAGTTTGCATCCAGGAGAGCAGGGCTTCTACCAGCCAAGGCAACTTCAACCTCTCCTGGTTACGTATTGATGAGCGCAATTCATTTTGTGGACTACGCAGGCTTCAGAGCTTTGCTCCAGTAAAATTGCAGGGGTTTTGCCCAGTCACACCCCTGCTCAGGTTTGATCCCCACCTCCACGCTCTCGTCCCAGCTAGTCCACGCACCGGATAAGTTTAGTCCAATAAATTGCTGAAGGCTTGCTCTGTGCCTCCTGCACTGAGGGTAAAGAAGTATTTTGTACTAGTTTGGACCAAGAAACTCTTTATTCAAATAATAAAAAATATATGTGTATTTTTTAAATGCCTGAAACCACGTTTATTGTGTGGTGTTCACCACATTATTTCTTCCTTGAAATTTCAATGGATTTTCTGTCATCTTGCCTCCTGCGAAGAAGCCAGAGTTCACAGGGTTGGCAAAGGGTGAGCTGGAACCATCGTGCATGCCTGCTCAAGAGAAGAGGTAGCCTCATCCTGGAAGTTTTAGCTAACCTATGTGACATTCTTCTTAATGACACCTGATTAAATTAATTCTTTAGATGAATGTAAAAAGACATTTCTGCGTCGGACAGTATGATTAGAACGTGTCACAATTGTTGCTGATTTGTTCACCAAATAGTGCAATCGGATCTTTGACTGGAATAAAAACAAGTTTAATATAACAGAAGTGAGGTAGCTTCAAAGGTTGTGGGTTTTTTTGCATACAAATACATGTATTAAAAATATAGATAATGTATTTTACAGCACTGTTTACAGTCAATGCTGTGCTACAAAGTAGCCGTGATAAATTTCTTGCTGAAATATGGGCTCTGTTGCTTACTTCAACGTTCAAAATGCTAGAAATGTGAATGTTCTTTCTTTCATGCGCCAGAAGGTGTTGTTCACACGAGGCTGGACAGGACCTTACAAGATTGTCACGTGATACATGAATGCTATAATGTGGATGTGCACCGTTGCTGGGATTGGCAAGGCAAGCTGTCGCAAAACGTGTGGCTCAAATCTCTCGCATGTGGAATGGGTGCAGCAGGGCTGGACTTTGCAGAGATTTGCTGTCTCATCAAAATGGACTTGGAGATAAAAATGTGCCTAGCAGCATTTTTAAAGTCAGGAGGGCTTTGGTGTCAGGCTGAACTGAAAATGAGATTCATTCAGCTGACTTAGAATCCATGCAAAGAAGATATTTTCCTTCCAAAAGGAGGGATTGACTGTATGATTGTAGTTGGCTTTAGCACCCCTGAACACACCCTTCTCATTCCAGACAGCTGGATTGCACAGCATAACTGGGTGAGCTGGTGTGTACTACCTTTAAGTCACCCACCTTGGAAAAACAACTGGTGTTACAGTCACGTGGCGTGCCTGGCACGTGGGTCCCCTGCCAGAAATCATGAAGGAGAGAGGTGGGCACAGGGTAGGCGCAGAATCCTAAAGGGATGCTTTTTCCCTTGCTTGATTACTTTGAGTAGGAACAAATGAATCACTTATGCAGACAGTTAAATTCTCATCAGTAGTCTTCAGAGTAAACAAATTAGATGTGAACTTTTTAGACCTGTGCTGTATATTGTGCGTATGCAGACAGGGTTTGGGGTGGTACAAATCTGCATAGCTCCACTGGCAGGAAAACCAGCAAGCCAAAAGATACCCAGCAATCTGTGCATATTCCTGTTTGCCTAGGAGCATCTGAAATAATTCACTTTATATTAGGTGAAGAATTGCTACTAAAAGAGCATGAGCTTTTTTTTTCCCCGTAGTTGGGGGTTGGACTTAAAAGAAGCAGTAAACCCTACATCATCTCTGGCCAAAATATGCTCTTAACTCCACCCTCAATTACAGCAGGATGTGACAGAATATAGCAGAAAAAATCCACAATAAGTATTCATTATAACAATTCTTATTATAAGAAAGAATTTTTTTACAGTGAGAACAATCAATCACTGGAACAGCCTTCCCAGACATATCGTGGAGTCCCTATCGCTAGAGGTTTTCAAGATGTGACTGGACAGGGTGCTAGATAATCTCATCCAGGCTCCCTTTCCCACAAAAGGTTGGACCAGATGTTCTTTCAAGGTCCTTCTGACATGGGCTGTTCTGCCATTCTGTTGTTAATGCTTTTGTATTTCCTTAGCACTGCTCAGCGTAGGGTCTCAGCTCACTTTTAAAGACTCAGGTCTTGGAAGAGCCTGAAGGCGGTTGTGCCTTATTGCCATGTTGCAGATTCCTGTTGACCAAAGTCAGAACGGGACTCAGTGGAGCACGTAGGATTTAACTCGGGCTGTGACTATCAAAACCTTTCTTGATGAAAATAGGTCCTGCCAGTGGTTTGATCCTGCCCAGGTGAGCTGCTTGAAGTTCACTGCAAATTCCACCATCACTGGTGGTTTCAACTGGTCTTGCTTATTATATGGCTGTCATGAGATTGGACTAGGTGTTCGGTGTAGACGAAACTCTGCTTACTGATAAATCAGAACAACCCTGATAGGGACTGGAAAAAGAAGAAAATGTCAACCTAAGAAATGTCATTTTCCCTGTAACTAGCAAATTAAAAAAAAAACCTTAAATGTTTACTTCTATGCTTACTGTGTTGTTTTTTATATTCACAGGCATATTTTGAAAACAATAATTCTGGGCCAGATGCTCTCCTTGTTTATCTGTGGGACTGCTGTTACAAGCCAGTACCTAGCAGAACAATACCAAGTGAATACTCCAATGTTTCAAAGTTTTATCAACTATTCTTTTCTTCTTCTAGTTTACACAACAATGCTGGCGTTTAGGACTGGTATGTGAAATATGGATGGGAGATTCTGGTTCATAATTTTTTTTTTCTTCTTCGTTTTCCTTTCAGATTTTGAAACTAAAGAACTTAATACTTGTCCTAGCTTTTTTAAGTTCCT